GGCACTTAATTGTCCTCGAGTCATTTTATGTATCTTAGTAAACTGCTTGAGTTCATGAAGCATGTCCTTCTTTTCTTTCAAGCAAAGCTCCTAGAATAGTACCTATTACATTGTAGAAGTACAGAGCTAGAGAACAATTACAAAGGATTATTAGTTGATTAAATATTATCTTTTTGATGCTTAAGCTATGGGTATATGGTACAGTTAAGTAAAATTATAATGAAAGTATGTAGCCTGGTCTACCCGCTTTGGATATTTGATACCAACAAGGAATAATGTTCAAAGTATTCAGCAAGCATTATTGAACAGGCACTCAGCAATCAGAATGGATTCTGACGGGCCAGTACCAAATATATATTAGGCAATTGAAAGTACAAACTCCAACTAGTTCAGAACTAAAATAAACTAAAACTTTAATCCTTGCTTTGCCAGAGATAAACAGTGGTCTGTAGCCATATCTTATATACTGATTTATTATTAGATCTACCTATAAAGCCAATAAAAGTCATTCAAGCTAATTTAACACTTAATCTGACCATGCTTCTTTCCCCCCTCCTGCTACCAGAGCTCTCCTGTGTATATATACTATAGCAGGATTGCCTATTCCATACAGTGTCTATTTCAAATATTTCTATAAGCATCATATTTGGAATGTCATGGTCCACTGTATATAATAAACGTCTCCATTGTCTACTTCCATAACTCTGCAGTTGGTGCAGTAGCAAACACTAGCAAATAGTAGCCCACACCTTTCATGATATAATGAAGTCTTTTCAGATTAATTCTTATATAGAAATTACTTTGGGCCTAGATGTTTTTATATTGCAAGACTTTTGCAAAAATATATTCCGTACATGTATGCTGAAGTACTTGTATTCAGAGTCAACCAGTTGAAACCATAAACAAAATTGTTTGACTACAAAAGTAGCCATCTACACTTTTCAACATTAACAAGGCAATTTAGGTGTTTTGTTACAGAGTCAGTCACACTTAAATATTACTCAAAATATTGATAACGCCACAACATAAAAGAGAGACTATGTTTTTTTTTAACTTATCAATTTACTTTTTTTTTTTTTGGTTTGTTTTTTGTATTAGTTCCATATTTTCCCTGTCAAATGGTGAAAATTAGTATTTTTAAACTGAACTCTAACATATTATGGGGATAAGTGTGTGTGCTTTTAAGGACAATAGATTAGTCTCAATCCAAAAGTAAAAGCTATGTGATTTTTTTAAAAGACAGAGATGTCTGGATGGTGCTAACACCTTCAGAAGCTATTATTACAGTGTAGCAGAGAAAGACTATCTTGCAGATGGAGAGAGTAATGTTAAGATTCCCACCAGACCTTGTCCTTCTATGCCTTTTCCCCCTGTGCAAAGGAATCTGTCAGATCTTATTCCTTTCTTTGAAGAAATGCCTAAAGAATGTCACTTCAGTCTGGCTACACTTAGGCATCATGTGGAAGATTGTGGATGCCTTCAAGAAAAAGAGACACATTCTGAAAAATGTAATTTAATTTAAGGATTATGAAAAGGAAGTTTTTTGGCTTTCTATGACTGGGTTGAAAGTTTACTCCTTTTTTTATAATAATGGTTTTTTACATTTGTATTATGCTTTTTCCTTTTCAAGGCACTTTAGCATTAAATATCTTATTTGATTCTCATTATCTTCAACATTTAATTTAAAGTTATCTTTATATGTTTATAATCAAAAATAGTTCTGAAATTTTGTTTTCTGATCACTATAGCTGTAGCTTATGTTTGGTTATTTTTCTAGTAGCCGTGATGGAGTATTTTTCACTGTGGACTACAGACAGAAGGACCCAATCTAGAAGGGCATAATTATTTCTCTCAATAATAATTATGAACATTGGAGTATAATATACTTTCATTCAATCATTTCTGAATGTCCAAGAGGATTCTCAAAACTCTGCTTTTCACGATACACTCATAATTTTCCTATGCAAGCCAAATATCTCATCAACGGGGTCTTCTCTGACCCCCAGCAGAGTTAGCTACTCTGCATTTCTGCCCCCAGAACCCCTTTCACACTGTATTGACATTGGATTGGGAATCCCACTACAGTCTTGCCTATGTCGTATTTATCTGTGTTCTCAGTACCTACCTCAGTAAATCTTTGTCGAATTAATACATGCACAAATGAATGTGCATGTTATGCTTTGTCGTGTTAAACTGATACCTCACTGAAAGGCCATTCCACATGATTACTGCTCGGTTCCCACCTATAGAGTCTGAGGGTAAGTTCAGCAACATGATTGGGAAATGCAGGAACTACTAAAGGAATTTCTTTATTAACTACAGTTAGAATTAAAAATAGAAAGCCCCTTGGTTTTTCAAACACTTGTATACCTATATTTCCAGAAGAGAGGTCTAAGAATCAAAGAGTCCATTATGGTTTATTCATGGACACAGGATAATATAGAAGCGATATTAAAGCGTTGTGTCAGGTCAGAGTGGAAACTTTAAATGCTGTTTTAAGCAAAGCTTTGAAAATATTAAAGGGGAAGAGTGGCATTGCCTGTAGTAGAAAAAAGAAAAATTTAGGTGAAATGAATGTCAAATGGAATCTAATTCCTAAGGATCAGATACTACTGAAGAAAGCAAACAAAACCTCATTCTTTGTTTTTATAAAGCATTCGAGAAACACACTGCATAAATTCTCGAAATAAATTTTGCTCTTTGCTCTAGAGGAAAAAAGAAACTATAATGTTTAAGAAATACCTATTTTAATACTTTGTCCTTCCTTTTGTGCTAAATTTAAAAATGAGGCTTGATCCATATGAGCGAAAAGTCAGCACGGACCAGAAAAAGGTCATTAACAAAATTATAAACTATTATGTTCCATTTAAAATATTTTCTGGGTATTATCCTCCTTTGAATTTAGAGACAATATGGAAGGATCTTCCTGGAGTAAATTTATACCTGTAATATTCCCGGGTACCATAGTCTCACTGGGGTTTTGTGAAGTGTAATGAGACATTTGTGAAATGTCTGAGATCTCTGGATGAAAGGTGATATGTAGATAGAATGTTATTATTAGTTGGTATGATAAACTAGTGAATAAAACATCTTCTTTGGTTATCAAAATAATAAGTTCAGGGGTCTGAACCCACGGCCGAGTGGTTAAAGTTCCATGAGCTCTGCTTTGGTGGCCCTGAGTTCTCGGGTTCAGATCCTGGTACGGACCTTCTGCACTCATCAGCCATGCTGTGGAGGCATCCTACATACAAAGTAGAGGAAGCCTGGCACAGATGTTAGCTCATGGCTAATCTTGTTCAAGCAAAAAAAAAAAAAACGGAGGATTGGCAACAGATGTTAGCTCAGGGTGAATCTTCCTCACACACACACAAAAGTAATCAGTTCAATTGAGATGTATCTCTTCATTAAAAAGTTTTCATGTCTTTTTTCTTTAACGTGTCAAATAGAGACCTTACTTTGGCACTTGATTATCCACATCAAGCTAAAATTTCCCAAGACTCAGATAAATAAAGCATATTCCTTATTCAAAGGTAAATTTTTAATTTTCTAATCATTTGTAAGGGCAAAATTTTGCATGGTTCTCCCATTTTAGTTTTCCACTTTAAGACACGTAGGCATGAGAGTAATCTAGTGGCAGACTCCTAGAAGGTATCTTGGAAAAGATGTCTTTACAGAGTCTGGTAAGAAAACAAAGAGATAATTATACAATTAGGAAGTAAAGAAAATCTTGCATAAATGGCTGTTCATTAAGATTTCTTTAAAAATCGCTTACAAAATATTTCATTAAAGACTCAGGAAAAGTTAGTTAATGTGGATTAAGTGTATTCTGAGTCTAAATTATTAAAATTAGAAATTTTAATGAGATGTGTTTATCCTATGTTTGAAGTGCTTTGAAGAGTACATGAAAAATTTTAATATCACTTCTCAAGTAGGACATTTTAAGGGACTCTAGTAATAAGTGTAACTTAAATCTGTAATGAAATGGGAAAAAATGGTACAAATGTATATAAACTTATTGGCTGTTATGGAATCTTGGGTTATAAGTAGTCTCTCTAATACTTTCATTAGTTGTATTACATGAAATACTCAGGACAGTGAACACAGAGAAAAGTACAAGGGTCTTACACAGTCGTTCTCAAGAAGACCCTTTTTCATATGACTCCACCCCATATCACCTTTTAAATAAACGTGAGAGTCACTTCTTTTTCACTACTATAAGTTCATTTAAAACTATTTTTTCCACTAATTTTCTAAATTTACATTCCTACTCCATCCTAAGACTTCAGTTTACATCAGCATTTCCACTATATATGTAAAGTTTATATCTAATAATTTGGAGAAATCAAATCTATATTTGTGACTATATTAGTGATCAGCGTAGAACTCTTAAATACAGAGGAATTATGCAGCAGCATCTGCGCAAGAGAGTCAACCTGAGAAACAATCATCGTGAAAAGAATTAAGTTCAACTTGAACTAAAAGACGGAGCAAAAAAGGTCTTCAGAGAAGGAGGGGGGAAACCCTTAAAGCCAACAAAGGCGTCTAGATAATACTGGATTTCAGATTACCTGAATGCTCCTAGTTCTGCCTGACAGCAACGAGAGTGGTGTGATTACAGGCACCGTGCTCGGAGACGCGCTGTTGCTGTGCTGCATCAGGAAGGATAAAATCTCTCTATAAAAGCCAAGTGAACCTGAGTAAGGAACGTATTGGGGGCATCCCATTAAAGAAAAAAACTAAGTCATCTGGATAGGAGATGGGGCAAGAAGGACCTAGGGAGGCAGAGGTGACTTCCAAGAGGAAATGATTTAATAGATTGTAGGCATTAACTTCTGGGAATTTCTTTTCATAAATCAATAGTCAAGACATGAGTAACTGTAAGGATGAGTAGGTGTTAAAATGTTATATAGAAAATATATAAAGTGAAAGCGATGACTTAGAGTTCTTCCAGAAAATTAATGAATATCACTAAGTAACAATTTTGCTGGAATCCTCTACAGATCATATTGATGTCCTGAGGCCCAGTGCATCTGGAAACAGAAAAGGATACTCTGAAGGAATTGAGAGGCTTTCTGAATGGATTGCCTGAGGTCAGAGGCTGAAAAATAAGAACCAGAAGACAACACAGTTGTTGTAAAAGAACTCTCCTCTTGAGATAGGGAAGGAGAAAAAAAGGAACTAGGGAAAATAAATGAAAATTAATATCTGAATTTTCATCAGAGCTGACGTGAGTTGTGAAACCATTGGACAAAACTGCTTCATTTATTCAAAAGTCACAGGGGAAAAAATGTTTTATATAAGTGAAGTATTAAGATTACTTATGTTATTAAATATTTTGAATAAAAATCTTTCTAAAATATATTTCACTTTATCCTGCATGTTAAAAGGAATATACAGAAGCAGATTTTATGTGTTCTTAAAGATTGTCACATTATGAACATTAATTATTTTACTCTAGGGTAGTAATTCTCCCTAAGGCTATAGAGGTTCTTAGGACTATTTATCCCTGCTTGGATCTCTAGTATTTGTACTTGCTTTCTGTAGTCGTCATGTCTCCTCCCTGCCTACTAGCTGACCTGCTGTCACTTTGGTATCATCCATGAGCCTGAGTCTAGTGACTCCCTCCCTGCTTCTTTCCAATTTATGGCATCTACCTTATCTTAGGCAGGAAAACCAGACAAGAAGCTTGGTGTAACCATAGCCATAACCGAAGTGAATTTTGAGAAGACATCTGAGGAACTAAGATCATGTGAGCTTAAGCATGTGGCTGTTTTAGGACCGAGATTGGCTGCTCATTGACTTTATTTTGGAGAAGAAGGTGGGAAGGAGCTTGCTTTGAGGCTCTGGACTGCATTCTGGATAGTAAACATCGTGACATTACTTATTTCTGTATGTCAGTTAACGTGTTTGAGATTGTGTCTTCACTTTTACAAATATAAAAGGGAGCTGTAGAGCATGTTTCAGAAGCCAATCCTGTGATGCTGTGCTTTATAATTGAAATCTTATTGTCCATTTTATATTACTTGTGAATAAATACTTTCATTAATTACAGGAATGTATTCTTTCTTCATATGATAGGTTATGTGTCAAAGACAATTCTCTTTGTGGGAAGTGTAGTAGACATGCATAGTCATAGTTATATTTGCATCAAAATCTACACTTTGAATAATGTACAGTTAAGCCAATAATTCTCTTCTTTCAGTTCCCCATAAGGCTTTGAGAGAAGTGAGGCAAAAAGTGCTGGTTTTAGGGACTGGCCCCATGGCCTAGTGGTTAAGTTCAGCGCACTCTGCGTCAGCGGTCCGTGTTCATGGGTTCACATCCTGGGGGTGGACCTATACCACTTGTCAGCCATGCTGTGGTGGTGACCCACATATAAAATAGAGGAAGATTGGCACAGCTATTAGCTCAGGGCTAATCTTCCTCAGCAAAAAAAAAAAAAAAAGTGTTGGCTTTAAGGTAGCCTCTACAAATATATGATGAAAATTAGAATATGCCTAATAGAATTCAAGAGGGGAAAGAGGGGGAGGGATGATCATGTAGGAGGATCTTAAGGAAAAGAAGACTGTGGAGTACTAGAGGCAGTAAACATGTATGGGAAGGGGAAGGGATTTGGAAACTAAAGTAAGTGTAGATGTGTATCTCACAAACTACTGAAAACCGAGGAGTCCTTATGAAACCATGTAAAAGATAAATGTCCAAGTATTGGGGGAAAAAAAAAAAGAGTGAGCATGTTTCAAAGAAAATTGAGTTCCTATCTCCATAAAGATTTCTTGCTGTATTAACATATGTCTAAGCTTCCCAAGACAGCTTGGGGTAGAAGAAAGGACTTTAACCTCTAAGCCTCACTCTGTTCTGAAGAGCCTTCTGAACTATAGCAGACACTTAACCCAGACTTTAGTTTTCTCATTGAAAATTGTGAAATGAAAAATTCATATGATAAAAAATTATATATTACATAATTATATATTTCATTATATAGCTGTATAATGAAAAATTATGAAATGAAAAGTTTAGATCAGATGATTTCTACTATCTTTTCCAACTCTAAAATTCTATGATTTTTTTTTTTTTTTTGAGGAAGATTAGCCCTGAGCTAAGTGCTGCCAATCCACCTCTTGTTTGCTGAGGAAGACTGGCCCTGAGCTAACATCCATGCCCATCTTCCTCTACTTTATATACGGGACGCCTACCACAGCATGGCTTTTGCCAAGCAGTGCCATGTTCGCACCCGGGATCAGAACCGGTGAACCCTGGGCTGCCGAGAAGGGGAACATGTGAACTTAACCACTGTGCCACTGGGCCGGCCCCTATGATTTTCTGATGAGTAGGTTTTAAAGTATTGGTTTAGAATATGTACAGCCAACTAATATCACAATCAAAGTGGTTTTTTTTCATGTCCCACGCTAGTCTTGACTATCCTGGAGGCTGCTATGCTCATCGTTTCCCTCTAAGAGAAACCATCTTGTCCATCTCCTTTATAGAGGAAAACAGTTCCAGGCTGCTCCTTGTGCAGGGGATGACCCTCACCCCCAACTCTCGTAGCATCGGTGGCTTTTAGTCCAAGCAAAGCTCAAGGACAGTCATTTCATTAGTCATCCAATGGCCTTATCAAATGACTTGGCACAAACTAAAAAGCAAGAATAACATCCTGCCCAAAAAGATAAAGGTTGGGCTAGTATCAGGCTGCTAAGGTGAAAAGAATGCATAGCAAGATGTCATAAAATAGGAGGGACCATGGTGTTCCATAAGAAGCTGAAGTTGTAGTTGATGAGAAACCAGAACCCAACAGGGAAAGAAGCTCTATGGAATGGGGGGTTGCGTAGCCCTTTGGTGGAGTTCCCTTTATTGCTTGCATTTGTGTTCTAAGGATAACACGTTTAAACAGTTTACAGGTGCCATCAGTCAATCAATAGATGCACTGTAATTATAGAAGTAAGAGAGTACACACACAGAAAAAGCTGAGATTAAGAAAAATACCTGTTATATTGTTTGAATGCTAGAATGGAGATTCCTGAACAACTGCTGTTGAGGTTCTTGTAACCACCTTCAATCCAGAACAAGATTTTAGTTCCAGTACTCATGAGGCATTTTTCTGAAGTTCCATTTCCTATGGAGTCATGTACTGCATAACAACATTTCAGTCAACAATGGACTGCATATACGACAGTGGTCCCATAAGATTAGTACCATAGAGGCTAGATGGATAGTAGGCTATACCATCTAAGTTTGTGTAAGTACACTCTAGGATGTGCACACAAGGACAAAATCACCTAACAATGTATTTCTCAGAACATATTCCCGTCTTTAAGTGACACATGACTGTAATGCCCCTTGTATCCCTGAGTGAATCCCCATTTGTTGAACCTGAGTTCCATATAACCCAAAGACCCTACTTAAGAAGTTGTTATACTTTTCAAATAACTCCCACATCTACAAAGTCTTGCAACATTTTGAAGTAACTTAGATCCCATTTCGTGGTTATGGAAACTCAGAGAATATAAGTGACCTTCTGTGGCCTTTCGGCTATGTTTTTCAGGCCTATAGGTGAGCAACTGTCTAATCTGGTATATCTCTAACTAGATCCTCTACCCTCTCTGAGAAAAATCCAGCCCTATAATTTTTTCCCAAAGATGTTACATGTTCCTAAGAAATAGTTGAAGTTTACGTAAACATGAAAAACTAATGCCCTTGGCTATTTATGGAGCTTCTACTCTTTTCTTTCCTTTCCTGGTTTGCTATACTGGTGTCATCTTTAGCAGGTGCTACCTGCCCATGTCATTGCTGACACCAAATGAGGGCACTAAATTTTATGCTAATGGTATCCAATCTTTTCCCAAGTCACAAACTCTCTTCTGTGTCATTACCAAACCACAGACACCCGGTCAGTGCTGAGGTAGCTGGCACCACTCCCTCTAATGTCTATCAACAGACTCTTTAATTTTTCTTTATGCTCTCTTTGCATATTTCTTGCCCTAAAATTCAGAAATGATATAGTCAAATTCACCTCTCCTCCATTCTCCCTCCTACCCACCCCCTACACACACACAAACACACACACATACACAAACAAAAGTGCCCATCCACCCTGAACCAAAGTCTTAAACTTCTCTCTTTTCCCTTAGGTCAGGATATGTGTTTTTCCGCTCCCATCTCTAGCCTCCTGACTCCTTCTCTTGTAAATGGATCTCTGGTGGACCCAAACTCCCAGTCCTGCAGACATGCCCAGACATGGCTGAATCCCACAGTGAGCACAGCTCTTGACATCTACTACACCACTAATTAGTAACAGAGCGCCTTTCTGTCATAGCCACACAGCCTCTTCTGTAGATTATTACTTATTTAAATAACTTGCCTTTTATTTCTGAATAAACAAAATACTATATTTTAAGTACATTGAGTATCCTGAGAAACTTCTAAGATAAAAATATATCACTTATGAGAATGGCACTTTACTTCTGTGGTCTTCCTCCCCAAAATCCATAACCTCAGTCTAACCATGAGAAAAACATCAGACAAACCCAAATTGAAGAACAATTTATAAAATACCTAATGAGTACTTCACAAAACTGTCAAGGTCATCAAAAATAAGGAAAGTCTGAGAAACTGTCACAGTCAAAGGAGCTTAAGGAGACATGATGACAGATGTAATGTGGTGTCCTGGATGGGATCCTGCAACAGAAAAAGGACGTTAGGTAAAAGCTAAAGAAATCCAAATAAAATATGGATTTTACTTAATAATGATGTATCAATATTGGTCCATTAGTTATGACAAAGGTACTATGATAATGTAAGATGTTAACAATAAGGGAAACTGGTTACAGGTTATGCAAGAACTCTCTGTACTACCTTTGCAACATTTCTGTAAATCTAAAATTATCCTAAAATAAAAAATTTATTAAATGTATATATTATGTGTTTACATATACACACATATTAAATATTGTGTGTGTATATTACTTTTTGGGATATGTATTACTGCTTAGTTGGACAAAGATTTTTTAAAAATCCTGATTGATAGGATGAGTGATCCTCATTGAATTCAAATTATTTAGGAGTATCCCCACTCAACTAATAAACTCATTTGGTCAGTTATTTAGCAATAAGCTATGATTTGAAAAGTCAACAAAAAATTTTAATGCAATTTTTACTGAAGCTAATGAGAGTAAATTGGCACGCCAGAATCGTGAAGATACATTCAAATTCTCCAGGATTGTTCCACAAAGTTTGAGCAACTTCTAGTGGCTGGAGAAGAGATGCCTAGATAATGACCAGGGAAAAATATTAGAGACAAAAGCGTTTACCTGTGTAACAGGTTTTTAAAAATATCAGTGATAATACTTGAAGAGGTCTTAGAAGCATTTGAAAGGAATATTTCCGTGCTGGTAACTGTTGAATTTCAGATCATTTCTCATGAAGCCTCCTGTTAGGCATAATCTTTAGCCCTCATTTATCTTCACTTTACTCTATTGATTCCCAAACTGATGGATGGTTGAGGATTTTGAAGTATGGCTTCCGAACAGCAGGTCTGTTTAAATAGATTTGAGGAAGCTCCAGCGCAGGACTAATATGTAACCTTCTTTTCCTTATGTTAATGTTTATTTGCTAAATATCTTGTCATAGTGGATCATTTGGCTGTCACCTCAGGAAGTATGATACTGTCTTGTTTCATATTTCTGTTCCAAAAACCCCCAGTGAGGCAAGAACAATTTTCAACACCTTTTATACCTAGTATTTTCTAGACTCTTGATGCTTCTCAAGTGCAACTGTAAACCATAATTGCAAATTGGGTTGCAAACAAATTTTGCTTAAGGCACAAATCATAAATGAAAGTAATGATCACTTCAAGATGAAACTTTTCTCTGTCTTTTAAAATGAGAATGAAAGTAGGTCAATGAAATTTAGGATATTTTAGAATATGTACAGTATTGTATTGTTTGCCAGTACCTAATTTACAATTACAGAGCTCCATGAATATTGAAATGATTCAGCTTCCCATTATAAATGTATGTGGCAGTTTGGTTGTTGATCAGTTTATGAAGTTAATGCAAATGGAACTGTCTTCCTGTCAGCATTTGAAATCTATAATGCAGTCATGTTGTATATTCAGGGACAGGCCATTGACAGTCAATTAACAAGTTTGATTGGTATGTCAACTCATTCTTTTGAATTGTTAATAGTATGTTAATAGCATTCATTTCTTTGTGCAGTCCCATTTGCAGCTTCACAGTTACAGCTATTTTTTATAATTCTGAGTAACCTAAAATAGTGCCTTAATAATAGATTATTAAACACCTGTCTAGTGTAGCTTAGGGAGGTT